GTCGTTTTGAAGTGCAGGACCTGTAAACATCTCATCGTTGATGGAGTGTCCATCCCAGCGGGCTGCACCGTCAAATACTATTCTCACTTTTGACGTGGATTTATCTGAGCGTACTACCGGGAAATGGGGTAGGTACCACTGGTCGTTGCCGTCTTTGGCTATCTCATCCGGGTCCACGCGTCTCACGTAACCCTTGGCAATGTGTTTCTGCATAACGTCAGAGTACTGCTGCTTCACGGCTGGCCGTGACTGTAGCGAGCGTTGTAGACTGCGGAGCCGCTGCTCAGCCTGAGCTCTGTTGGACCTGACACGTGGCTTACCGCTGTCATTGACCCATGGGATTCGGACAGTTACCCGGTTGCCGTTGCAGCTGATTGATTGGCTCGTGAGCTCCTCGGCTCTTCTGTCATCGGGTGAAGGCGTCTCCTCTAGTGGGTTATCTGTGCCCGCCGACTCATCTCGCCAGAACTTCTCTACTAGCTCGGTCAGCCCATCAGTTAGCACTGTGTCAGTAGCTGGTGTAGTAGCTGTGATTGCACGAGTGGTGTCGACTCCTGTACCAATGCACACCCACCCGAGAGGAGTTCGTCGAGCAATGGGCGCTCTTGCTGTTTCTGCTCGCCGTTCTTCTAGAGTAGCATGAAGCTCGATGGCATTCAGGCCGATAAGCGCGTCGATCTGACTGCCCTTGATGGATGGGAAGTCAATATCACTGAGATGCGGCCAGCTGCTCTTGTGCTGATTCCAGTTCACTGCCGGTAATGACACGGTGACGGTGGGCAGAACCCAAGCTTCAAGCTTGTTCATGGTCTTGTCGCCCAGAGCCGCCACTTGGATCTGTACATGCTCACGTCTTGCTGCGGTCTGCTTGCCGCCTACTCCGGAAGTGACGAGCTGCCGCTTGGGTCCACGCACATTGAGGGCTGTTGCCACGGACTGCTGGACATAACTCGTGGACGATGCTGGGTCCAGGAGTGCATTACCTTGGAGGCTCACACCATTGTGTCGGAATACAACAGGCACAACCATGAATGACTCGCCACTGTCAATCTCTGGCTGATGACTTGCGCAATGTGTTGTAGCAATCTTGGCAGGACCGCCACTGCTGGCCGAAGCTGCGTTGGCCTTGATTGCGGCATTTGATGGGTCTGCAGCGGAATCCGAGCGTCGGATGTTGTAGTGTAGCATGTCATGATGCGTGCGGCTGCACTTTGAACAGGGTTGCCTGGTACAAGTCTTTGCGCGATGATTGAGACCGAAGCATAGGGCGCAGACATCTGGCTTGGACTTGATGACTTTCCATCGGTCCCTGACCTCCATCTTGATGAAATCGGGGCAGCGGTGGAGCTGATGCGCCTTGCCACACGAGGGGCAGCTTCTGTCGGCACCTGCATCCTTGCTAGTTGCCACAAATGTTCGTTCAGACTTTGTAGCACTCTGCTTCGACCATGATCTTGCTGGTGCTGGTGCTGAGGCAGTGACTTCTGTCGACCGGAGTCGTTCATCGGCACGGCGTAGTGTGTTGACGCGTCTGAGGAGCCACTGTGTTAGCTGGTAAATATCACAGTCAGCATCGTCATACTTCTCCATGTACCTAAGCAACAGCGATTTCGGCAACTTCTGCGTAACCGATAGGTACAACTCACGGCCCGGTGTTACTGCACACATCTCCATATTCATGAGCATCGTCCGGAGTCTGAGGACAAACTTGGCAAAGTTGTCGTCTGACTCTTTTAGCTTCGGCCACTGCAAAATCTCCTTCTCTTGGCGCTCAACAGTGCGATTGTCGCCGCCATACCATGCATCTAGCTCCCTAAGGATGGTGTGGTAGGCTCCTGGACCGTCAAGCACGCCATCAACAAGGTCGCTGGCCGTGCCATGCATGAGACACTCACGCAGTTGTGCAAGTTTGTACGCTTCAGTCGTTAGTGGATCTTCGTCAACAACGCGGCGAAAGTTCTGCTTCCACCGGTCGTAGTCACTAGTCTTGCCAGAGAACTTTGGTAGCTCCAGTGGCTTCACGTGAAAGCTGAAACTAGCAGGGTGTAGTGTCTGCAGTTGAGGTGGATAGGGCATGAAGGACTCTGCTTGCGGGTTTAGCACCTGCTTGGAGTGTTCTTGCACTGCCACTGGTGTTGGTGGCTGCTGTTTGGCCACTGCTGTATGCTTCTGTGGTGTATGCCATGGTGGTGTTGCATTCAGCATTGATACTGCCTTCTTGTTACTGCCAGGCAGTCTTGATTGTACTGCTGCACTGCTTATTGCTGGCTGTACAGGCACTGCATTACTAGCTGCCTGTATGGACACTGTAGTACGTCCTACAGGCGCACCACTGGCCATTGACTTCTTGGCTGGCACTACTGACAGCACTGTACTGGTCACAGACTTTTGAGCGGGCGCGCGCATGAATGCTTGCGCCACTGGCCCCAGGGCAGGCACGCCAAACGCATTGACACTACATGTACTTGACTGAGCTGGGCTGTCTTCCGCCACACCTAATACAGCCTCAGGTTGTGTGGGCGCATTCACAGTACGAAACGTACCTTGCAAACTCCTTGGCTTGCCGTGGTCGCGTTGTCCGTTCACTCCACCGACATCACTCATCGTTCTGAAGTGCTCACGCGGTGGTGATACGAATTTTCGACCAGGTCCGGCCAACTTGTCGTGCTCAGCAAGACTCTTGGCAGTCAATATTGCCCTGCCACTGGATGCAGCGTTTCCAGTCTATGATTTGCGAGACGACACTTTGCTCCCTGACCCGGATCGTAGTGCAGCTGCAGATTCAGCCTCGGCTCTTCGAACCTCCAGTTCCCTCTGCACCAAACTTGTCTCACGAGCCAACTTGCGTGTCTCGGCTTCCTCCTCCAGCTCAGCGATTTGCCTTGCAGCCTCAAGTTCTACACGAAGCATCTCTGCACGAAGTGACGCCTGCGACGCAGCAGTTCCTGAAACTTTCGAGGGCGCATGTCCTGCAGAGCTCACGCTGTCCGGGACGTCACTCCAGTTATCAAACCCGTATCTGCTCGGCGGTCTCCCTTTGGTAGACCGCGAGCTCCGTCTACACTCAGCGCCTGGGACTTGCTCGTCGTCGCGCAGGACTTCTTGGATCTGGCTCTGAGATCCGGCTCGAAGGACCACTATGGCTACTCATGCTGCCCTCTGTTGCCCCGGCATGCGTTCAACCAGATACAACAGCAACTCGTAACAGTATGAGACCAAGAACTTTCTCCTCTGAGATAAAACTGCAAGAACCAAAACTGTAAACTGCTTCCTACAGTTCAAAACTGACAACTAAAAAACTTCAAAGGCATGGAAGTATACATTCTAGAATGACCAAAGCGAGAGCGCAACCGCAGCCTGCGAGTATCCACAGGACTGTGCACAAATGCAAAGACGAGTGAATATATTACGACTAGATAGCATGGAGACAGCACATGTATCAAACGATACGCTACTTGAATCTCAGACAATGCAAAGGTTGAGACTGGCCTGCGGTAACAATAGTCAATACATCAGGCGCCAGCAGCATGCACTAGAATAAAAGAAATGAAACCTGAGTACAATGAAAGGTCATGCAAGATTCACCACAAGCTGGGAATATTCCAGAACAGTAAGTCTGATCCAGCCGCTCCAAAAGCACGTGGAACTAGTGGACATGCACACACTACCACATCTGCAGAGGCTCGCAAAGAAGATGAGTTTGACTGCTCGGATCAGACCATCACCATTGGATTCCTTTATAAGAGTACCAAGGTTTCAATGCAAGATTCAAGTGAAGCTAGTTCTCCCACTCCCCTGCGACAGAGGGTATTTTGCTTGATGGTTTCGGGTCGAAGACACTGGCACAGATCAAAGATTGGGTAGACTTTGAGGGTGCATTTCGGAATTTTGTCGCAGGTGAGGCAAGAAGAAATCTTGGCAAAGGGGCAGTGATTCTGGTTGAGACCAAAAGCAGGAAAGTCTAATCCTAATGTCCTGAGGACATTCCACGCAGATCATACTGACGGCATACGCAGAGGCGGGATTGGAATGGATAACCTCCTTTGCATCATTCTGTACCTCATTAACAAGAGGCAGGGAATGACCATCAATGAACTGTATGAAATGTTGGCGGAACATGTTCCAAGCCATCGTGGTGATATCTCGAACGCCCTCTCGTCATGCAAAATGACGTCGGCTTGGGAGAGGCCTGTGCTGCCCGGAAATCTCGTTTTTTTGGTCTCTGATTCACAATACCACTTTTCGTGATTTTCGACAGTTGTGACAAGAAAACGCCTGTCGCGAGCTGTCGCGTACAGTCACAAGGTACCCGTCACAGAGTCCAAGAATGTTCAACTTTCGCCACGTGCGACGCACTGCACACACACAAATGGAGTACAGTTTCTACTCTGGATGCACGGGCAGTGCACGTGCATAGTACATGCACTGCATAGGGATGTCATTAGAACGTTTTTTAAAAAACCCTGTGAATTGTGTGTCGTGGTCGCAGCTCGTCGCAAATCGCATGTCGCGTCGCAACAACTTGTATTGTGAATCGGCCTTTTAGGGACCGCCCGAGGTTACCAATTTTTTTTTCAAAACAAAATGTTTTCGCTAGGGGCTGGGTGGGTTTCAGGAGTTTCGCTTTGAAAATAATTATTATTAATGCACACCATGCACGGAGAATGCCCGGGTATTGCTGGGTGCCGAATACAAAATCAATATTTTGTTGAAATTTCGTTTCATCTTCAGAAATGATGGGTGGGTGGGTGGGTGGGGGCTGAAAACACTAAGTATTTTCGTTTTGAAAAAAAAAGAAGGAAAACTACCGGTAACCCCGGACTGCCCCTTATTGAGAGAGGTTTCCACTTTTCTCAGTCTGGCTGCAGTCGGCCACACAGGGAGAGCGCCTGACACTGCAGCACAAGCCTTTTTTCCACATGGGAACAACCCCAACTACACCCAACACTGCAGCAGAAGCCTGTTTCCACACGGGAACCTCCACTACAACCAACACTCACCGATGAGCTCTGCCGCGTGGCAGCACAGAGCGGCATTCCTCCGCCATCCAGCCTTTTTCCAGGCTCCACGATGCCTGAGGAAGTGAATGATCTGTGACGAGAAAACAACACAAAAGAGTGGAATAATTCAAACGGAAGTCATGCACGGAATGAAATACCCGAGGATGCTGCCTGGTGAGCCATACCAGTACAGGCCATAGTGCAATGTTCAATATGATTGGTGTTGGACAGCTGCAATTAGATTTCTTCAAAGCGCAACCAAAGCTGTGATGCGATTTTTCCAGGGGACGCACAATGCATATGTATGTACAGTGACCACACTGTAACTGGCGTGCCCGGGTGATCTATTTACTGAGAACAGCACACAGCTGAGAGAATGGTTTCTTTGCCATTGTAGCAGACTAGGTCAAAGCCAAAGTTGTAATAATCTGCGACTCGAAAAAACTATCACAGCATGGCGAAGCAACTGTTTAAAACTATGATGACTCAAAACAGACGACTTGGACACCTTGGGTGGTTCCATTTGAAGATCCTAGACGCAAAACCGAACGCAATTTCTGTGAGCTATACTGCAAACAGGAGTACCTGCACAGCGCCGGCAACTGCAGTGTTTTTCATCGGTGACACACAGGGCACAGCACTCACAAAAATAACAATTTAGTGAGACACGTCCATTCGGACATTCGTAGCAGAGCCATACACAGGGAGAGACAGCCTACAAGGAGAGCTGGTCGACGTTGATGATGAAGATACATGTTAGTGACTATTAGTATACATGTTGTTGCCAATCAATACTTGAAACTGCTAATCAACTTCAGAATGGTGTCCCAAACAGTGCGATGCAAAAGCCAATAACTATGTTAATGCTCATTCGCCGCCATACATGGATAAAGCAAAAGCGAGCCAAACCTACCAAATATGTTGGCGGAGCCTTACCCAACAAACAGTAGGGTTTGCAAAGCCAGCCCCTCCCCCACGCACACGCACACTCATAAACACGTGTGCAAGCTTACCCATGCTTTCGAGGGCCACTTCAAACTTGGGCGAATCTACTGGGATCCGAATGTGCAGCACATGGAAGAAGACGTCCATAATTGCAAACTGCACAAAGTATAGCACAACAACAAGAAACACAGCCCAGCAGTCATGTCAACGATATGGGCAGCAAGCAACAAGAAACACAGCCCAGCAGTCATGTCAACGATATGGGCAGCAAGCAGAGCCATGTTTACAGCCCGGTGTTCGTGCAGTGCTTTGGCTATGCAGCGCCATCTGGCATTGAAAACGAGCAGTTTCTGCTAAGGCCCACGGCGCCCACGGAGGGCACCGGTACAGGATGCCTTGCCGCTGGTGTTACTGCAGTACCGGCCGGCCGGCCCTGACATGACAACTGACCACCCCACAGCATTCCCAGAGTATGCCGTGCAGCGGCGTGCACACACAAAGAATGTGCCGTAGTGGAATGCATACACACACACTCAGTCACAGACACAGCATGCCAGCCAGAATCAACACCGGGTGCTGCACTAACCTGGTTGTTCTCGCTGGGACACCCCAGGGACTGGATGAGTCGACTGATGGTGTTGTTCTCCTGGTTACGGCACAGGAACGTTAGACCTGAGCAGGCAAACACGATGAAGAGAACGCAGCACCAGCAGCAGCAGGTGTGTAACATACACTCAACGCACAGCAAGGTACAGGATACACAGCAGAACAGTATTCCGGATTACAGCCACCTTCACCTTCAGCTGGTAGGGTCTCGGCCTGCTCGACAGTATGACACTTCCCTACAATTTACAGGCCCGACCAACTTGGTGGCCACCAACATGTGTTCACTGCTGTGGAGGTCATGTGTACTCACTCTATCATACACTAACTGTATGAAAGGCTAGGGTATGGCTAGGGTATGGCTAGGGTATGGCTAGGGTGTGGCTAGGGTATGGCTAGGGTATGGCTAGGGTATGGCTAGGGTATGGCCGGACCAATCAAAAACTACTAGCGTCGGCCCTGCATGATTACAAGTAGAAACGAAGCTGTGTTACACTACTGTCGGGCGCCGAAGAACAATGCGCCGAAGAACAAACAGGCTAGAATTTTACCAGGTGTACGGTACTCTTATGTTAACGGTGGTTGAACTATAGGCAGTTCTGCATGAAAGATACCAACTGCCTAGGCTAGGACTCTGAGCCCCCAGCTCTTCGGCACCAGGCAGTGCTGTAGTCAACTTCTACTATGCAGTATTGACCAATTCTAGCGATGGGGATCCTCTGATCTGCATGCTCACACATCATTACGTATCATAGAGCAGCCATGCCCAAAGCACTGCGGCTGTGCCATCGGCTACACAGGAGTATGTCGGTAACGTTCACACATACAACAGCTGCTGGCACATCATATTCTGCTTAGCTAGAGGGATGGTTGAACAAGGTTCGTACAGTACCTGGCCAAGTTCGCATCATCCAGATGACACCCATGTGAGACGCATCCAAGTGTTCCAGCTTCTCATTTCTGCAGCAACACATTGCACACGATCAAAGAGAGCACGCAGGCGTTCCGCAATGTACTGGTAAAACCGGCTCACGCGACCCAATCAGCTGGTTTGACTGGCAATAACATGGTCCGTATGATCACGTTTCTTTCATAGCAGATGTGTTGAGACTGTACAAAGCTCGCCCTAGTGCAGGGGCATAGGGCAGGGGTGCATTCAACGTGGTTCCCAGCTATCTGGACACTGCACGCCTGATATGCGCACACCGCTGTTTCGCATAGTTTGTCAAGAACATCGGCTCAACTACCTGATTACATGCCATGAACCAGTCAGCTTATGCTCGTGGAGTTTCAGAGATTGCCTGCTTTCACAGATTGAAATAGGCCAGTACAAATGGGCGGTTGCCAAAAACATGGAAACTTTCAAGCCGGTGACCCGAACTGCAGTACATGTACTGCTCAGTCAAGTCGCACTTCACGCCTAGGTAAGGAGAGCACTGCACTGTAAAGATGCAGCATTGCGCCTGCTGAGCAAGGGACTAGCTAGGGACTAGGGCCTTGCACCTGCATGTACATGTACAGGGGTGTCGGAAGGTATTTTAGGGTGTGGTACGGTCAGTCATCTGAAGTACAGTTTACTCGTGGGGGAGGGATGGAGGAGCCGAACATTTGAGTTCAGATCAGTGTATTTTATTGATTCACGGGGTACCTGGGGCAAAAGGTGGTACGGTCAATACCGTAGTGACCGTACCGTGTCCGACGCCCCTGATGTAGAACAATGCTCGTGACAAAGATCAATGCATGAGCCCATTGCGCAGTGACGCACTCTGTACCATAAACACCCCGCGCCGCCACCTGGGCATGGTCGTCTGGCCTGGAGTGTTGAACAATGCATTCTGGATTCCAGCGTACTCGCATGCATTGCTCATGCAATTCATATTTGGCAATGCGCAATGAGCCCATTTATGATAGTGGGATTGAGGGGGCAGAATCACCACTCAGAAGGACTGTATCGAGATGTCTTACATGGCCTGGCCGTCGGTACCTTCGGCACTGTCTATTGCATGCTTATAGTCGCCATCCAACAGAGGTGCAGTGATCATCTGAACAACAGCAGAGAAGAAAAGAATCAAAAACAGTCATTTTGACAAATTTAGGGCTCGCAAACTTTTAAGCGCAGCGGCCAATATTGCCGAAAATACGGTATTTGTAAATGAACAAGATTACCTCCAGGTCATACGGTCGTAGAGCGGTCCGTGTGGAGGGCGTGTTGAGCAGTTGTACAAGTGACAGGGTGAGGAACTCGTTGATGGAGGAAATCTGAACGAGCATCGACACAAACCGACAGATAGCATCACACAGACACGCACACACACACACGCACACACACACACACACACACACACACACACACACACGCACGCACACACATGCACACACACACGCGCACACGCGCACACACGCACACACACACACACACACACACACATGTAGCATGTAGTCATAGAGTAACCTTGACAACCGTTCAAAGTGCTCACTAGACGTGCTCGGCCAGTCAGCAATGCACACAAACGCCACTTCCACGTGAACGCATACATGTACTTCCCATCCAGAGGAAGCAAATTAGACCGCATCTATACCAGCACATAGTGAAACTTCAGTGCAGCGTTCTCCAACGGCTGAAACGTCGTATAGCCGATGTACTGTAGATCTGAGGTCGAACGACTGGTATAGCATGATGCAGGGTCCTCAACAGTAGTACTTTATACAATAAGTTGATACAGTAGTTTATAGCCAATAGTACGTTAGATCCAGGGTAACTGATACTGAACTGCTTCACTCTACACGTAGTTAGAGTTCTAACAACTACTTTCATCTCACTATCATAGCCCGTGATGAATGCACTATTCCAGTGTCCCCAGCGTGTACACCTCTATCCAAGCCATGCTTACCTGTGTGGACACGATGGCGGACATTATCGTCCTCACAGCACCACACATATTGATCATAGGCGGATTCAGTGTGGCTGTTAGAAGACAACAACACAAACACAGCCGCATTGCGTACAACAGTGCATGCGTTAGTTCAACACCGTATTGGGACGTACACGCTGAGTTGCTTCACAGGCAGAAATTCGACAGGGGGTGGAAATTGGAGAGGGGGCGGATCAACAGTACATTACGGTACGTACACACACATGCACACATGCATGCAGATAAACATGTCCATACAATCATATACACACGCATGCACATGCACATATACACATATAAACACGTACAAACAACACACACAACACACATGCATGCACGCACGCACACACACACACGCACGCACACACACACACACATAAGCAACACTGACCAAGTTCACAGAGAATGGCTAGCGATACTCGGCTGAAGGTATCGTTTTGAGATTCACCCGACGCGGATAGAGCTCGGCAGAACGTCATTGGAAAGGACTCCGGTTGCAACAGTAGCATCTGGTATAGATACATGCACATACAATACCATACGGCAATACGATCCATGTCTGATTAGAAGCTATACTGGTACGTTGTGCGTGTGTGTGTGGGGGGGGGGGGGCATGTGTGTGTGCGTGTGTGCATGCGTGCGTGTGTATGCATGTGTGTGTGTGGGGGGGGGGGGGGGGGGGTGTTTATCAGACAAAGTTGGCCTATCATACAGATTTTCATATCCTGGGAAAGTTGAATAAAAGACCTTTTCAGTATGCAATTTGCTGGTAGCCATTACTGCTTTTCAATACAAGGACAAGAGAATGAGAGCAAGAAAAGTTACAAAAATCTTGAACAGCTGTACATGCCGTCCTTTGCCCACCCTAAACTATCACAAGGCCGGCTTGAGGCTACGGTGAACAAGGATGCGGCGGCTGTCCCCAGAAACACGTGTCCAGGTGCATTGCTAAGAGTGTCTATGTGTTAGTAAGATACAGTACTGTTGGTTGCTGAAGAACTAGGGGTGGGGAGTCAGCCCCGTAGCCTAGGTCGTTCTTATTTTTCATGTACTAGAGCATATGCAGAGTTGAGTCACCATGTATATATCGGTATGCTGTGCGGGGATTTCACAGTCACTGAAATCCTAGCGTGTTCGTTCTTCGGCGCCCGAAAGTACTGTACTAGTGTACTAGCAGCCACTGGAACCTACCACTCTCATCAGCTTTATTGCCTGGAGGCGCTCGGTTTCGTGGGTTTGATTTCCTTCCCGCTCAAAGGATCTGAAGAACAGTCACACACACACACACACACATACACACACACACACACACACACACACACACGCACACACACACACACACACCACACACACACACACACACACGCATACACACACGCACACACACACACACACACACACACTCAAATGTGCACGCACGCACGTACGCGCACACACACACACACACACACACACGCACGCACGCACGCACGCACACGCAAAACACACATATAAACTTCAACCAGGCTGGGCTGCCAATGGTCAGTAGCTGGACAAATCATGAGCATGGCTTAAACCTCAACTGATGTTGTCGCGAATGCGATCGGATTTATTCGTAGCCACGAGCACAATGCATGTACATAACCAAGAATTCACAGCTACATGTATCTCTGTTCAGTGCAGGATTTCTACGTTCAATCAGTTGCACTTCCCTTTGTGACACCCTCTTCTCACCTTGCACTCGTTTGTATATCTAAGGTTCAATTCTGGGCACCCGTTTTCTCACTTTGCACTTCGTTGCATTTCTAATGTTCCGTTCCGGGCACCCTTTGAACTCATGCACTTTGGCTTGCACACGCACTGGGTGTACACTCAAACGTCTCTTATCCGGACGCCTCAGATACCGGCACGTTTCTCTACCGGGCACCTTCAGCTTGAGTTCCTATGGCAAAAATGCTTCGAATTTGGGATGCATAAGTGCTTATTTGTCACTGCCAACCCGTGTAATCCACACATTTTTATCAATGGATTCTTTTTGTAACCTGAACATGTGCAATACATGCCAAATAATAAACTTCTCCAAAAAACGATATGACACATGGTAGATGAGCTATCCTGAGATACAGGAAAATCTGAGATACGGGCAGTGCCCGGTCCCAAAGTGCCCGGCCCGGGTAAGAGACGTCCGAGTGTGCTACTATAGGCGTCTTTAATGGACTTCACTATCCATTTTCATGTCCACAGTTGGACTCGTTGCACCGTGCGTATCTTTATGTCTCACCTGTTCAGCTACATACACGTGGAGCTGTTTTAGTTCCACAACATGGTGCCTTTCTTGCTGCTCTTTGATTCTTCGCTACTCCTTGGGAGCTTATTCCGATGTGTTTGTATATTTATCGCTTGTATATTAGTAACGATGATTCCGAGACCTTTGGTCGGAGGAGTTACTTTTGCCCCGCCCCCACTTCCATCCAACAAGGTTGCATGGGATTTGCTAATGGATCGTTTTGGGAGAGACCATGTTGTAGTCAATGCTCGGTACTTGGCATTAGTCGATTTGGAAAAACCGTCTAGCCGACCTGAATCATTGCGGAAATTCCTGAATGACGTCGAGGCAAATATCAGAAGTCTAGGTGCACTATATGAGGACATGTCACAGGCACTATTCATCCCACTGACTACCTCCAAATTACCTAAATCGGTTATGTCTCAATTAGAATTAAAGAAAGGCACTACCACGAAATGGACAGTGCGAAGTCTACGTGATGCAATGAATCACTATGTAGATGCAATGGAAGCAGCGGAAGCTGCAACTACCGGCGGAAACGAATGACTAAGGGACCGAGCATACAACCCACGACACACACGTGACACACGTGACACACGTGGCACACTCAATGGCAGCAAACACTGTGAAAATGGAACGCAAATGCATCTACTGCGGACAATCGCATTTCGCTGATGAGTGTACCAGGTACACAGATGCAGAACCCAGAAAGGATCAACTGATTGGACGGTGTTTCATTTGCCTGAAGCCTGGACACAGTGCAAGGGCATGTGAGCGCACTAAGCCATGTTACTACTGCAAACGCGCAACACGCCATTGTAGTATCTGTCCAGAGAAATTTGGCTCAGGGAATCATCCCCAATTCAAACCACAATGGGAGTGGCAATCGCAGATCGCAAGAAAACGGTTTTGCAAACAGCAGTTACAGCAGTGTCAAACGGAAGTGGAACCCAGGTATGCCATGGTTCGCGACAGATGTGGTCATCAGCATAGTGTAGTAGACAAACTTCCCTCAACACGATTCGTGAAGCCCGATGTTCTGGCGACACTCAACTGTCTGAGTAAACTGTTGGCATTCACTCTAGAACACAGCGCTCATCATATCGATGCATGCCGTGCCGATATCGGCTTTTGCGGCAGAGAATTTGCTGCGCTCCCCGAAGAAGAAGGTCAGTGACTAGCAAGTGCTTGTACTGAGGATCGACACCAAGGAGTGCCTCATCAAAGATGGTGCAGAAGATCCTTTGAGAGGTCTCCGCTGCGCTACACCGTGGTCCAGTGCTTGGATCGGCAGAGTCCAGCAATGATGGTAGAGGAGCCTGAAATATGCCTTGACCAGCTACGCAGATTCCTGAAAACTGTAACAAACGCCGAGCACGTCCCAGTGAGCGACTGTGATAGCATCCTGAAGGTGTATCGCGAGGTGTACACAGCTACGTGAGCCACCTTTGTCAGCTTCAAACAAAGTGTTGGCCGGCTGGATGCTATCCTGCCTGAGCAACTCGCCATGAACGAGACCATGAAGCACTTGTGGACGCTCGCAAAGAAGGTGTTTCTCTTGTCTCGTGGACAAACATCTGTGGATAGTAACAATGCATCCCAGGTCGACTGACAACATTACATAGCTTCACCACTGACCAAGTGAAGCTACTATGTGAGCAGTATAAAGCACACACAAAGAGCGAGAGAATAGAGAATCACCAAGCTGCTATCTTCCTAGGAGCGTTGTACTTCTCAGAGCTCCTCTTCAACCGCCCATTTCCTATTTTCTTGAGTCTTCTTCTATCAATAATCGAGATGATTCCGTCAAACGCTGTGACACTTTGCAGGCAAGGAATACGCCGGGTGTTATCCACCGCCTTTCTTCCACACTGGACCACAGGGCCAGTTCCGGGTCTATGCGGACACCCTACGCGATCCATCCGATCTTTCGAACTGGGACGATTTCCACAGCACCCTCTAGCAAAACCATACCTTGCTCAATACAATAGGGACGCTTGATAATGTTTGGATTACCTCCCCCTCTTATCTTGGGCTCACAACCGGAACCGACCATTGCATCCTTAACGGGACTTCACTGCCAACTAAACAGGCTCCCCATCACCTTAACCCGGCAACTCTTCATTGCTATCATACAGGTCAACCCTCCCAGTTTTCCCGGGAAAATCCCGGTGAATCAACATTACTCCCAGGATCCCGGGGATTTCAAGCAAACTCCCGGAAGTAACATTTCTGTCTGATCATGGGTTTTCCTAATGGGTCGTCGCAAAAGTTTATTGTCGTCCCTGAAGCGAACATCGTTCATTTCGTCCTCGGACCCCCTCCCCTCCCTCTGAAACGAACGCAGCTTGCTATGCTGGACGACGAAAATCACATGCATATACATGACATACCGTAAAACTCCGTTAATAAGCCCCGGGTGTATACTTTGCAGAGCGTCAAAAACCGGGCGTATATTTGGGCATGGGCTTATTTTAGGGCATGGGCATTATTTCGGACGCAATCTGCAGAAGATCAATCTATCAGCAACCCCCTAGTTTCAGTGAACCACCATTCACACTGAGCGCGGTACAGGTACATCAAACCACAGCTGGAAATTTGGTCGTATTAAACCAAGAATGTAGCGATAAATTACAGATTTGATAGGTAAACCACTTGCTATGGTAAGTACAAGGCACAACAGGTACGCTCGCGCGCTGGTCATTTTGAGTCCACTTTACGCCCTGGGCTTATTTCGGGCATGGGCGCTAAAACGGACTTGAAGTGTACACCGCCTAAAACTGGGCTTATTATCGGACATGGGCGTTATTTAGGGTGGGCTTATTTACGGAATTCTATGGTATGTACGGTGTCGGTCGACTTGCTTTTTTGGCTCCAGGGATTCTGCAGCTCTTGTCAAGGGATTTGAGATTTTGTTCTGGTTGGTCAGTATGTGCTGATAAGGCTCAGCCCCTCACTTCTCTGTGATTAATGCGTCCAGTAAGGAAACACACAGGCCTGCCCGTACATCGAGTGCATTGTGCGCCATCAAGAGTCCATAACCCCCAGAGTGTGCAACGCCACATAAATGTCGGTCACGACTCGTTTTCAACATTATGTCATGTTCACGTAGCTGCGCGTGCAGGCCGCGACATTCGCTACATGAAAATGTACATGAAAATGACGTAATGTTGAAAACGAGTCGTGACAAGACCCTATCGCGCGTTGCACATTCCGGGAGTTATGGACTCTTGGCAGCATGTAAACATGTATCATTCAAGCCGTATGCCGCACGTTGCGTTGTCGTTGCAGCACCCACGCGTGCTAAGCTATCACCTAACGTAGTGGCTGAGCTTTGCTTTGGCTGGGTATCGCCCTCATCTCTGGGATTGCTCCCCACACTAGTGTTGCATGCATCTGCTATGAGATAGAATCGAATAAATGAATAAATAAATAAAACTATTGAAAAGAAAAAGGACCAAGGAACTACAAGTTACGCTATAATGTCCACTAACACCACCAGAAACTAAACAACCAGCTCATGCACCCGAGTCCATTCAATAAATAAAAGCTGCCACTTTAGCAGCGGCCAGGCACAGTACTGCCACAGTACTGTCAGTAGTCCTTACCGCGCAATGACCATGTCCAGGTTATGGCGATAGACAATCACTAGCAGTGGCTCGGACACCATAAAGTAGCGCAGCGCTCGCAGTGTGCCTGATCGCACGGCAATGTTCGGACTGACCAGCAAGTGCCGGAGACTGGAGAGAATGACACACACACACATACACATACACACATACACACACACCACACGCACACACACACACACACACACACACACACACGCGCGCACAGCAATGCAATAGAATAGATGTCACAGAAATTTTAGGCTGTGTTCCGTTTACGTGCAACACATTTATGTTCCACTCTTCAAATCAAATTTGATTTCAGTAAATTCTTTTTGAAAGGACTTCTCAGGCCGTTCGGGACTGAGGGGAGAAGGAGAAGAAGAAGGAGAGGGAGAGGGAAAGGGAGCGAGAGAGAGCGAGAGAGAGAGAAACGCCTACCTCTACATATACTCTCATCCTAGCAGATTTCAATCCGTCAACAGGGTGAGCAGAAACAGATAAAGAGGTGGAAATCTCGTTGACTTGAAGGACAAGAGAATCAACGTGAACAGCATCAACATGTTCCGAGACGGTCACTTCTACCTCAACATTTCACAACACAAGCAAGTTTCCATTAGAGAACGATTCTTCACGTCGACCTTTCATTAGAAGAAAGGGATTCACATCTCAATCTGATATCACAGTCGAAAGATTCCAAACCAGAACAAAAAAGACTCACCATGACGGGGGCGTCTTCCCACTTTCGAGACACACCGTGTTCTCCAAGGTCGTCACCTCCCCGTGGCGTGACCTTTGATCTTGATGCGAAGTAGTCTCTATAAGGTCTGGTGTTTCATTACTGTCGACTCTTTCGCAGTGTGAAGAAGATAAGATGGCGTGGTCAACTAGTGAGTCGTATAGAGCAG